AAAAAAGTTAAAGGGCGGCAAGACCAAAACATGGCAGAAATCCATGAAGTCACTGACATGTGGACTGAGTCATTTTGGTAGATGTAGGCAACCTGGTTGGGGTCCGCCAGACAAAAGTCATCGATGGTTAGAGACCTAGAACGACAAGGCTCAAAATCATTTGCAATCGCGCAGGTGCATCCATTCGTTGTGCTCTCTCAAATCCTAATCTTTTGGAATCGTCATCACCTCCACCTTTGTCCTTCTAAACTTATTATTATTATCTTCGAACCCTAATCTTCTCCATTAGTAGTAATTCTTCTAGTATTTCTACCACTGTGGAATTTGAATTGACAACTACATCTCTGTGCTAATAAGATATGGCAACTTGAACTGTTGTACTTACATACGAAGTTCTATGTTGTAACTGACTGACTGACTGACTGATTGTAACATTAAATAGTCTGACCACGAAATAACATCAACATCCCTCCCATATAGAGGGAAGAAGAAATAGAACCTCCTCAGTTCAACTCATCAATCTTATTTATTTACAATGAAATGAAGCAATTCATTATAATAACAATGTCATCTGTCATCTTTTCAAATTTACTTTTATTCATCATATATCTATTATGAATCAATATGATCTTGTAGTATATTGTATGTACTTTAAATCACTAATTAAAATCCAAAATAATTCAAATTTTAATGATAAATTGATATTCTACTAATAATAGTGCATAGAATTTGTTTTTTTTAAAGCAATCTATAAAATATATAATGGTCATTCTCAACTTAGTAAAGAAAACTACTAAAATTTAACAACTTTGACTGAATAGCGTTAAAAGAAAATAAACCAAAATAAACTAATTCGATGATACTTGGAGGATGTTAACAGCTTTACATATATGTGGGTAGAATCATCGACAGCCAAGGTGGATCCGATGCAGATGTGAGGGCGCAGGATTAGGTAAAGCAAAGGCTGCATTTCTACAGTTGAAAAAACTATCTGGAACTTCAAACAACTTTCAAACAAAACCAAAATCAGGATTTTCAATACAAATGTCAACACAGTTCTACTGTATGGAGTGGAAACTTGAAGAACTACGAAAGCCATCATCCAGAAGATACAAGTGTTTATTAACAGTTGTCTACGCAAAATACTTCGGATTCGTTGGCCAGACACCACAAGCAACAAACTAATGTGAGAGAGAACAAACCAGATTCCAGTGGAGGAGGAAATCAGGAAGAAGCGGTGGAGGTGGATAGGATACACGCTGCGAAAAGCACCTAACTGCGTCACGAGACAAGCCCTCACATGGAACCCTCAATGGGAAGAGGAAAAGAGGAAGGCCAAGGAACACATTATGCCGAGAAATAGAGAAAGATATGAGAAGAATCAACAAGAATAGGACAGAACTGGAAAGGGAAGCCCAGAACAGAGTTGGTTGAAGAAAACTAGTCGGCGGCCTATGTTCCATGGGGGGTAACAGGCGTAAGTAAGTAAGTAAATAATTCGATGATACCTATTGAAGTTGACAATGAACCTTAATAAAATGTTAACATTATAGCAATCATCTATTCATTATTATACAGATATGGCGATTGTTGGTTTTCATTGGAAATCAATCATGAATCGAGCATTGTAAGATGTGACCGGTGGAGGTGAACCCTTTCAGTAACTAATACCGAAGACAAGTCGCGGCGCCAAAACTTTAAAATGATCAGAGTTAGACATTAATACTGATGGATAGCGACTCAGTAGTCCAGAAGTAGAGGGTTCACGTACAAGACCAAAGGTCTGGAT